GTGGTCAAGGTTGAGAAACATTGGCCTTGACCTTCTTCTTCTTGAGGAGGACTTGCGTTCAACTCCATCTCCTCCCTCGGGGCTAGAAGCCACTTGAAAACAGATTATGGCCCGCAACCCACTGGTCTTTCTGCCCCCCCCCTTTTGAGGACGATTCCATCCGAGCCAAAGAGAAATTAAGTGGAGGGGAAAATTCAATCGGTTTTGCTAAGGATGAAAAGTAACGATGGAGTGGGGGGGACGTCTGGAGGTTCATCACAGGAGTGGAATATTCTCAAGGAAATGTCGGTTTAGACTGGCGGGGGGGGGGGGGTCCTGAGGTCTTTGCAGGTGGTAATCAAGAGAGGGAAGGAACAGAGGACGGAAGAAGAAAAATTCATAAGTGAGGAGGGGGGGCAAGAGGGAAGCAGCCCTCCCCACGGCAAGATTGACAGTGAACCTGCAATTTCGCACACTCCCCCCCTTCTGCCGTGCCCACTGCCCTCCCCTCTGTTACCTCTACCTTGGAATAAAAGACAAGAGAAGGAAATAATAATAAACACATGTTGGACTCCCTCACCTCCTTAAGTAGCAGTGGTGCATGTAAGCCCAGGGAGTTAAAAATAAAGACAATGTGCATACATTTGCATCTCTAATGCACAACGCTCCCCATTTAACATGCAAATTCCCAGGAACGCTGCTGAACACCTTCTGTTCCGAGCGCATAAATTTGAATTTGCAATTAGAATAATCTTGTATAATTAATGAAAAGCGTCAATTTTAGCTCCTAAGTAATTTGATTAACATGTTGATAGGGCACTTAGCATGCTCTCTAAACCAGAGGGGCTGGGCGTCAGAGGAATGAGGGGATGAGAAGGAGGCAGAGAAAGAGAGGGGAGAGGGGAGGGGGGCTGGCAGGATGACCCCCCCTGCCCAAACGTCAGCTGGGACGGGAGGGTGGCACGGCAAGAGAAGAGGAGGAGGTGGGTGGATGGGCTGGGAAGTCCAAGAGAGAGAACCAGAGCGGGGCAAAGTTTTGAGCCCACTCCTGCCACCAATGGGCCCCCAGAAGGGACAGCAGAGCCCACCCAATTCAGCTTACGACTCGACCATCGGAGGCCTGGTCAGCTCTGGAAGGGGGCTGGCGTGCTGATCTTCTGTCTCCCACAGCAGCCCTGGAGACGCCTTCCTTGCTGCTCTCGCCAAATGCCACCCGTCCAAGGTCTTTCCAGGAATGGTGGAAGCCATAGCCAGAGGGTCCTTGGGTTGCAAAAGGGCTGGGGTGGGGTGAGGTGGGGTGGGGCAGGGCACGGCACGGCACAGAGAGGTCCTGCTGAGCCAGGATGAGATGGCAGGAACTGGCAAAGTAGGGCACAAGTGGGTCTCTTCCGGAGGACAGGAAGGCTGACGCACGGCCCCAGAACTGTGAGAAAGCAAGGGGCAGAGGAGAAGAACATGAAGTGGAGAGTTCCAGTGGTGAAAAAGTCCTGTCTTCAATAGAATTATCTAATTTAGTTGCCCTTGGGAATGGAAGGAAACGGAAACTCGTGGTGGTAGCGATGGTGGTGGGAGGGTTAATCTTTTCCTTTGTGTGAAAAACATCAGTCCTGCCCAGTGGATCAAATCCTCAGCGTTTCTCTTCTTCCAGCTTCCCATTGAACTTGTAGGTCTTCTTGAGGAGGGAGGGGGCTTCTACTTTGCGAATTCTTGCAGCGCCTGCTTTATCCAGTGAAATAGCCATTAATGCTTGACTTCAGTGTTTCTCAGCCTTGGCATGGCA